CCCCCCCCCCCCCGGCCCGACATAAGAATAAGACATGACTTCTCACATATTCCAAGCCACACTAATTAGGACGTCACAACTGTGTTTGATGAATTCAATCGACCTTTCAGAGTATAATGTAGGGGCGTAGCTAGGGCTAGGGGGGGGGGGTTGCGGACTGCACTGGTTGACACTAACCCTGGCTACACCACTGGTATAATCTATCAAGATACATTGTTCATTAAATAAACAAGTTGCCTTTAAATAGCTTAACAGCCATGTGTGGTTCTGTTCTATAGGGGCGATTACTCTTACGCGGCTGCTCAATTTCTATTGTCTTCCAGATGTTCCAAGAAATTAGCGGTTATAAATATTCAAATAAAACTTAACTATGTAGATCATTGGTTCTCAACAAAATGTGAACCATAGTCCCCTATGTCCCAGAAACTTGTCCTTAGAGTTCGCTCCCTATTTGCAAGACCCGCTGAGCTATTAGATCAGTGGTTCTCAACGTTCCTAATGCCGCGACCCTTTAATACAGTTCCTCATGTTGTTGCGACCCCCAACCTCAGTATTATTTTCGTTGCTACTTTACAACTGTAGATTATATGTGTTTTCCGATGGTCATAGGCGACCCCTGTGAAAGGGTCATTCGACCCCCAAAGGGGTCGCGACCCACGGGTTGAGAACCGCTGTATTAGATAGTGACACAATAAAATGTCAGTGATATAGAAGTAACATACGATTTGAACATTTATTCCCCATCTATTTACCAAGAGTTTTAATTACTGCATTTAAACACACCATTTGATTACTTCACTGGCAAATCCTTTCTTAGTGTGATGGTTAGGAAATGTCATGAAGTTTTTTTCAATGTCTGCTTTAAAGACACATAGCAGGACTTTGAAATAAATGTCCAGACATGCGGAGAAGGCGTACCACAGCAATACCACGTTAGTACCACAGCAATACCACGTTAGTACCACAGCAATACCACGTTAGTACCACAGCAATACCACGTTAGTACCACAGCAATACCACGTTAGTACCACAGCAATACCACGTTAGTACCACAGCAATACCACGTTAGTACCACAGCAATACCACGTTAGTACCACAGCAATACCACGTTAGTACCACAGCAATACCACGTTAGTACCACAGCAATACCACGTTAGTACCACAGCAATACCACGTTAGTACCACAGCAATACCACGTTCTACCAACCATAAAGATGTACATGAAACATAGAGTTACTTTTAACAACCTTCTCCTATTCAACATAAAGATAGAACATTTCCTTTTAAATTATTTCTAATTATCTAGAGATGCAGCCTATTCTCGGGATGAAACTTTCAACTTTGGTTTGAGCGTAATATCAATTTTATAATTAATTTTCCTTCCATCCACTACACCAACTTCATTTCATCCACTACATCAATTTCCTTTCATCCACTAAACCAACTTCCTTTCATCCACTACATCAATTTCCTTTCATCCACTAAACCAACTTCCTTTCATCCACTACACCAATTTCCTTTCATCCACTACACCAACTTCCTTTCATCCACTACACCAACTTCCTTTCATCCACTACACCAACTTCATTTCATCCACTACATCAATTTCCTTTCATCCACTAAACCAACTTCCTTTCATCCACTACATCAACTTCCTTTCATCCACTACACCAATTTCCTTTCATCCACTACATCAATTTCCTTTCATCCACTACACCAACTTCCTTTCATCCACTACACCAACTTCATTTCATCCACTACATCAATTTCCTTTCATCCACTACACCAACTTCCTTTCATCCACTACACCAATTTCCTTTCATCCACTAAACCAACTTCCTTTCATCCACTACATCAATTTCCTTTCATCCACTACACCAACTTCCTTTCATCCACTACACCAACTTCCTTTCATCCACTACACCAATTTCCTTTCATCCACTACACCAACTTCCTTTCATCCACTACACCAATTTCCTTTCATCCACTACACCAACTTCCTTTCATCCACTACACCAACTTCCTTTCATCCACTACACCAACTTCCTTTCATCCACTACACCAACTTCCTTTCATCCACTACACCAACTTCCTTTCATCCACTACACCAACTTCCTTTCATCCTACTTCCTTTCATCCACTACACCAATTTCCTTTCATCCACTAAACCAACTTCCTTTCATCCACTACATCAATTTCCTTTCATCCACTACACCAACTTCCTTTCATCCACTACACCAACTTCCTTTCATTCACTACACCAATTTCCTTTCATCCACTACACCAACTTCCTTTCATCCACTACACCAATTTCCTTTCATCCACTACACCAACTTCCTTTCATCCACTACACCAACTTCCTTTCATCCACTACATCAATTTCCTTTCATCCACTACACCAACTTCCTTTCATCCACTACACCAATTTCCTTTCATCCACTACACCAACTTCCTTTCATCCACTACACCAACTTCCTTTCATCCACTACATCAATTTCCTTTCATCCACTACACCAACTTCCTTTCATCCACTACACCAATTTCCTTTCATCCACTACACCAACTTCCTTTTATCCACTACATCAATTTCCTTTCATCCACTACACCAACTTCCTTTCATCGACTACACTAATTTCCTTTCATCCACTGCACCAACTTCCTTTCATCCACTACACCAACTTCCTTTCATCCACTACACCAATTTCCTTTAATCCACTACACCAACTTCCTTTCATCGACTACACCAATTTCCTTTCATCCACTACACCAACTTCCTTTCATCCACTACACCAACTTCCTTTCATCCACTACACCAACTTCCTTTCATCCACTACACCAACTTCCTTTCATCCACTACACCAATTTCCTTTCATCCACTACACCAACTTCCTTTCATCCACTGCACCAACTTCCTTTCATCCACTACACCAACTTCCTTTCATCCACTGCACCAACTTCCTTTCATCCACTACACCAACTTCCTTTCATCCACTGCACCAACTTCCTTTCATCAACTACACAAACTTCCTTTCATTGAATACACAAACTTCCCTTCATCAAATACCGGTTGACTAACTTCATGAATACCCAGTAGCAGGCAACCAGTGATGTCTCTAGGGTTGGACTTCCCCCAAATCTGCTTCCTCTGGTGACATCAATTCTGGTGGCATCCTCATCTGATGCAGCGTGCTCTGGTAGCTACGAACTCTGGTGGCACCACTCTTCTGATGGAACCCTGTTCTGGTGGCACCCTATTCTGATGGCACCCTGTTCTGGTTGCACCCTTTTCAGTTTGCACCCTGTTCTGGTGGCACCCTGCTATTTATTTCTTCATTCCTGAGATCTTTATGAAAGCAAGCCCAGCTTTCAAATTGTTCATTTTCCTTTTGGTATTGTCTTCACCCCCCCCCCACTTTTTCCGGTTTTTGCGGTTGGGTGAATTGTGTTTATGGCTGTCATGTATATGATCCAAGGGTGTGAAATATGACAAAGGGGTGTACAAATATGACGTGGGTATTAAGTCGTAAATGAAAACAAGCCCCGCTTTGAAATTTTTCATTTTCCTTTTTGTATTTTCTTCCCCCCCCCCCCCCCACTTTTTCCGGTTTTTGCGGTTGGGTGAATTGTGTTTATGGCTGTCATGTATATGATCTAAGGGTGTGAAATATGACAAAGGGGTGTACAAATATGACGTGGGTATTAAGTCGTAAACTAACTTTTACAAAACTACGTAATTTACCATAATTGGTAAACAGTATTGATTTCCCTCTCCCAGCCAAGATTTAACGCAAATTTTCAATTGTAACACTAATACGACTTAACATGACAGGTTACAAGTACTTGCGTTGTAATCAAATATTTTAATTTTAAACATTATTTGACTTTGCAAATAAAAGAAATCCACACTTATCAGTATCAGTGTTTTTCAATCAATGGTCCACAAAAATTTCCTACTAGACCTAAAAAACAGGATGATGCCGCTAAACAGGCTTACATGGTACGCCAGGATCATTAAAACATGGTTCCTCAAGAGCATCTGTACATTGGACTCCTAGACCATCTATACATGGGACTCCAAGACCATCTATACACAGGGCTCCAAAACCATCTATACATGTGACTCCAAGACCATCTATACATAGGTCTCCAAGACCATCTATACATAGGACTCCAAGACCATCTCTACATAGGACTCCAAGACCATCTATACATAGGACTCCAAGACCATCGCTACATAGGACTCAAAGACTATCTATATAAAGGACTCCAAGACTATCTATACATAGGACTCCAAGACTATCTATGCATAGGTCTCCAAGACTATCTATACATAGGACTCCAAGACTATCTATAAATAAAACTCCAAACCATCTATACATGGGACTCCAAGACAATCTATACATAGGAATCAAAGACCATCTATACATAGGAATCAAAGATTATCTATACAAAGAACTCCAAGACTATCTATACATAGGACTCCAAGACTATCTATGCATAGGTCTCCAAGACTATCTATACATAGGACTCCAAGACTATCTATACAAAGGGCTCCAAAACCATCTCTAAATGGGACTCCAAGACCATCTATACATAGGAATCAAAGACCATCTATACATAGGACTCCAAGACAATCTATACATAGGACT